TGGGGGGGGAGTGGGGAGTGAGGTGTGTGCTTTGCACCTCAGGACCAAACGGGACTGCCAAACCATCAAGGACAGGGCTCTCTCTGACTCTAGCCATACAAAGCCTATGGCAGAATCTCTACTAAGAGTGTGGGGCTTGTGACAGGCACCCCAGAGCAGGGCTGTGTGCCTCCCAGAGGTGATAGATGAAGCAGGTGTTTTTCTCCATCTCATGTGCTGTGGGCGAGGAAGCATACAGATGCAAGCAAAGTTTAGAACAGGAGCAGGCACTGGTCAAGTTCAAGCTTTGCCTTTGCTCAGCCTGGAAAGAGGAGGGGCAGGTGTCTGTTCCCTAGGATGGATCAGAAGCCAGGCTGAGACTGTGAAAGGCTTGGCAATGAAAAGGAGTCAGGCCCTGCAGTGAAGGTGAATGTGGCATGTTGCGTGCACAGGGCTGGAGGACTGTGGAACTGCAGGGAAAATGCCAGGAAAAGGAACTATGTTAACTTGAGGAAATTATATTTGATGCAAAATGCTAGGACTGGTGGTAGGACTTGGGACAGGCAGCCCTTGATTTCTGTAACATACCTCCAACTCTGTCATGAGCTGGGCACCTCAAACCTTCCACTTCAGTTCTCCCTTTCCCTCAGTTTAACCACTCGGATACAGGAACTCATCCTTACTTAGCATTGCTAATCACTTCCTACACTGAACCTGCAGCCTGGTAAGTTTCTTGACCAAGGGCCTTTGTCTGCATCTCCTTCCCTCTCCATACCCTTCAGGACCATGCCTGTGATGACAAAAGAGGCGTTGGGTCCTCACCTCACTCGCACGGGGCACTGTAGCTCATCACTGTAGTTTCTTCTGGAAGATGAGAAAACAAGTGCTGGTGAGATACCATTGCCAGAAACTCACTGAAACAACCCAGCATTGTGCCTCTGTTTCTAGGAGAGGTGTGCCCTCAGCTTAAAGGCCATGACTCCCCTCCACTGCGAGACATGAAACCACTGGAATGTGTCAAAGACTCTATATGCAGCTGGTCTGGATTTGCCCAAGTCATGGGGCTTGCCATCTTTTGAAGCCATAAGTCCCAAACAGCTGCATTGCAGTTATGGGTTCCTCACTTTCTGAAGCAATAGCAATCTCGGGCACATTTCTAGCTTTTCCTCCCACTAGGGACCACAGAGGACAAGTTGTTTTCAGTGTCATTCTTCTAAGGGGGTCCTCACTCTTCTAAGCCATCCCTTCCCTCTGCCCTTGCTGCCTCCCACAAAATGAGTGTACAAAATCATGGCTGTGAGATCCTTGCTCCCCTCCTGTTGGGAGAGTTAGACCCTAAGTGGATCTACATGCCAGCTTGCAAGTTCTGGGACCAGAGAAAGAAGGATCTACCATTTTGAAACCCAAGAGGGTAAGTAAGTCCATCACTAGAGAGCTTCTAAGGGGCAGTTAGATAAATCTTTCTATTGTCTTAGACTTTAAAACTTAAAAAAATTTCTTTCCAGTGGTACATTTGGGTAGTTTCTGCAGTACAGCATCTGAACTCACCCGGCATGTAGTAATCATAGACCTTGACATTAGCTGGCTTACGATCCTTCACTTGCATGTCCTGCTGCACCAGCAAAGTGTAGGCGTGAGGCTGTCTAGTCAGCTAAAACCAAGAGATGCAAGGATTACAGCCAAAACCAAAGTCCTGTGAGATGATCCCTTCCACCTGCTCTCACTCAGGCTCTATGGAGACCTCACCACTGTGACAGATCTGTTCTGCTTTCTAGTCCATCTCAGAAATACCTTTTACTTTACGTTCTGTGGCCATCTCCCATTTTTGATCACCAAATTTAACTCAGCTCATTAGAGACATCAAACCGGCAGAGTCAATGTGCATTAGATATCTAAATGTAACACTAGTGTTCCCAGTGAATTCCACATTCTCATCCAGGTCTGCTCTGAGCTCCTTCATGCATCTTGCCTCAGTGGCTACTTTCTTATACACAGTCCCATTATCTCAGCTCTTATTCTCCAGTCTCACACAACCCTCATCATTAAGCAGACAAATGCAAGGTGTGGATGAACATCTGCTGGATGGTAGTAGTTACATGACCTGCTGTTGATTGGGCTTCACCTTGTGCTACCTGGCAGCCTGAGCTGAAATCTTTCTCTGTGCTGCCTTTCTGCTCGGTGCTGTAGACATAACGAAAGCAGCACCTCTGGAAGTCTACTGCATCCCCACGACAATAACCCGCTTACTATGAGGCTAGCTTAGCTCAGCTTATTGACAACTGGGAATGAAGAATCACAGAAATGTGGAAGTGTTCCTTGGAAACTCTGAAGTTTTAAAATTCATTCCAGGTCTTGTTTCTAGTGCTGTTTAGGTATGCATGTAGCTACAGAAAGGCTGGAGTGGGAGTGGTTGTTAATCTGTTGATTAATGAGGCTGTGGAGCAAGCACTGCTGCTCACACAACCATCTGGTTTAATTTTGAGTCATCTTGGCAAACTCCATGAGCAATCTTGGATGCTCCCTACTACATTCAGGCTGCTTAAGGGCTTTCTAAGAATTTGGGCTGGTTTGAATTTACTAGATGGATCCTACTACTACTCCACAATCCTGATCAGATACTGTACATGGACTTTCAACAATCTCTGAACAGTGCCAACAGATGTAGGCTTAACATCACAGCTAGCCTCATTTCACTCAAGTGACCCTGTATACAAGCTCTACAGCTGAACTACTGCAGCCCAACACAACATACTTTTCTAGGTCAGCAAATGTGGCTGGTATGCAGGAACAACAGCTCTGGATACTTACAATACTAATGGAACCCCAATACAAGAGTAAGCTAAAAGCTATCTGCCAGTCTGTAGTCCTTTTAATGATGATGATAGCCTAAATTCCACTCACTTCCTCCAGGTAGAGAATGACTTGGTCAGCTTCGCTTTCAACTTTCTTCACTAAAGGCATTTTCTTTAGCTGAAAACAGGAGGGGAAATGTCAGAAAGACTCTGGCAGAAAGCAGAAATATTCAGGGATATTTGTCCTTGTGAGAGCATTGACAATATGTTCACATGGCCAAGGAAGCCCTTGGGGTAGGGGAAGGCAAGGTGTGGCCTGGAAGAGACTTTGGGTATAAAAATCTCTTCGGAAGAAAAGAACCGCGTTTCTCTGCCCACAGGAGTGATCACAGTTCTGCATACATCTGCATACATGGCGGACATCCATCACTGTTCCCACCCCAGCTGGACACAAACTCGCAGTCTCACCTCTTCCAGTGAATCTGCCGCAGGGCTGTATCCAGACAGCAGCTCCACTTGGATCAGGACCATGTTGGTGGACACACGGTTCCCTGTGTAGCTGCAGCAGGAACCCAGGGGACAGCACTAATGTTACTTTCTGAGCCATGATCTCCAGATACTCCAGCCCAGCTTTGGTACTCAGGTGGAGGAATCTGCCTTTCCTTCCAGTGTTTCTCCTGTAAGCATACCTGTTCTGTACTGTAATAAATCTTTGTGCTTCCCCTGATCTCTCTTTTAATTGTGTTGAGCCAAGGAGAATAAATTCCTTGGAAGGCTTCTGGAGTTATCTTCTCTAGGCATGGCAGGGAGTATCACAGTCTCCGCCTGCTCTCTTGGCATTTCTGTCCCAAGTCAGGCAGGGGTACAGCAGAGGAGAGTGGTGTGACAGTCAACCAGGAGCAGAAGAAGGAAGACTTAGGTATAAGTGTCAGCAGTCAGTCCCACAGGACCTTCACATCACTAGTGTTTTGAGTCCTAATCCTACAAGGGGGTGACCTTGAGACCACAGACCTTGAGAGAATTTGTGGTCACTGGCATGATAACAAGATAGGACTATAGCCTGTGCTATCCCTCTGGAGCCTTGTACCTTTCACCCAGCTGAAGAGAGCATAGTTAAATGAATGGGGACATCTTAGCACTTAGACCTCATGAGTGAAGGAGAATCCTGGCCATCAAGAGACTGGTGTGGTGCAAGAAGCCTCTCGGCACAGGGGAGGCAAGGGGCAACTGAGCGTCTCCTACCGAGCATGAACGGTGACAGGGAACTGCGTGGCATTGGGTGCGGTGCACTCTGTCTGCACGGATACGGCAAAGGTGACGTCGCTCCTCTGTGGAGGGATGTGGTACCGCAGAATGGCCTGCGAGGACAGAAGGAAGCTAGCTGGTAGAAAATAACAGGGGGGTTTTGTTGTTGTTGTTGTTGTTGTTGTTTTCTTTTTTTTTCTGGAGAGTATCCTTGTCTAGCTTTTGGCTGCTGTTTGCTGCCCTGCACTGGTGTAAGAGAAAACCATGTTGTGGAAGTGGAGGTTCTGCTAGTGCACTGCTCCTGGTGGTGTTCACTGAACTTCTTGAGGAAGAGGTGCAGCTCTGACTGGATGGAGGTGATCCAGATGTCATTTGGGAAATTGATATTCCCTTCCTGTTGGATCCCAGCTACTCCTACCAGCCTTAAAGCCCTGATCTTGCAAATCACTGCTGTAGTCTGTTTTCAGTGTTGGCTAAGTAGCAAGGTGAGAGGTCCTCTGGCTTTCAAGGCTTTTCCCCAGACAGACCTTTTCTGCCTGGCTGGGCTTACCTGCAGGAAGAGGCACCCATGGCCCTGCACACGCACAGTATAATCCTGGGGAATGGCTGGTAGCTCCACTGTCTGCAGCAGGAGGCGATTGGTGTTGTCTACTCGGATGTTTTGGTTGAAACCCTCAGAGGAGAGAGAAGCCTCAAGATCAGGGCCATCCTTGCTAAAGGTCTTGGCTGCATACAAGGCTAGGGCTTCCAGAGCAACCACCGTGTCCTGAGGAAAGAGACACACGTTGGGCAAAATAGTGTCCTTGCTTCCTGTGCATGCACGGTCCTTAGCCTTTCCCTCCCTCAAACTGCAGCCACAGCACAATAGGGGTTGAGCTTTCTCCTTGGACTTTTAGGATGGGATTAGCTCAGAGTAATACGAATATTTGTGTTTTCCCAACTTACAGGAGCTGTAAATCCATACATCTCTTTTGTTTTGCTTTGTTTTGTTTTGTTTTGTTTTCACTATGGGCTGTGCTAGAACCCATTGCACAAACCATAACTGATGGCAGGTTCTCTGCTAATGATGGCTCAAGGGGATTACCTGGCTTGAAGCAAAGCCTCCATAAGGGTTTTGCTGCTTGGTGAGCCACGACACAATCTGGGATGCCTTTCTGATTTCATCTGAAGACAAACTTGACTTTGAAAGATGAGCCATGAGGATACTAGATGTCAATTCCACATCAACAGATGGAGCCCGATACCAATATAGGGAGTCTTCTTCCTGTTTGGACTGTTGACTCCAGAATATTTGGTCATCTAGAGGGGGAGTGGGAATGCTTATGGAGTGCATAGCTGTATCTAATGACCTTGGAATCCTACTCAGCCCCTGTGCCTAGGTACCTAGTGAACCTGTACATTGGGACAAGATATGGGTGCATATCTCCCTATTTACCGCGCCCCCCCCTGCTTTTCCCAGTAAAAACCTAGGTTTGTGGGCTGGGAAGGAGCTCAACAACATCCATGAAGGTCCCCTAGTTTGGATGACTGGGAGACCAGGACTATGAGACTAAGTCTGTCTCACAGTATGCCTATAGCCTGTGACAGCTTGGCAAACAGAGGCTGTCCAAGCCTTGGGCTCCCCACAGAGCTCTGCTAGTGCCCCCCACTCCTGCCCACCATTTCTTTGGTTGTTCAGCCCTGGGATCTCCACACATTTCTGCCAATGGCCCTCTCTCCTGCCCCACAGTCTTTAGTACCTGATATTATGGCGGCCTTATCCAATCTTTTGAGTATTTTCTGCCTGAGGGCCTTATCACCTGCTACTGCAAAGGCATTTGCAGCTAGTGCCAGGCTGTAGAGGTTGGAACTGCCAGTATCAGCATTGACCAGGTCCTTTATACATTTCAGAGCTTTCCACACAACTGGATCCTAGGATACAATCGAAAGCACACCGTTTGCTGGCAGGGTGTATGGGAAGGGAATGCAGCCTCGATGTGTGCAGACCAGGGTGGAAACAGGGACGGGACACATGGGGAGAAAACTGGTAACGTACCCCTGTGTGCACCCCATGGTTAACGTCCCTGCTGCCGATACTCACAGAGCGTGGCATCCCTGAGTGTATGAGAGCTGTGATGATTGCAGAGCTCAGCCCCAGTCCTTCCTCCACTGCACCCTGCAGCCATCACAAAACAGAGAAGAGGAGTGCTGCCATGAGAAGGGAAAAAGATTGCAAAAGATTTTCAGTAGCAGATTTCAGTGCCAGAGGAAAGTGATGTTCCCACAACCCCGCTGCAAGGCAGCACCTCACTTGAGGGCCAGGACAGTGGCAAGAGTATGGAGGAGCAAAAGAAAAGGTATCTTTTGCAAGGGGAAGTGAAAGGTACCATTCTTTTCACTTAGAGGATTAATTATCTGAGGTCTTGTCCACCGAACTGCTGCTAGCTCCACTTTGGTGGTACTCTGTGTGTGTCTGTGCATGCGTAAGTGCTGTGTTTCTGAGTATACAGGGCACATCCCTGGTAAGGTGAATCTCACATGAGTGGCTGCCATCAATCTCCATCCACTCAATTTCTGACTCCCTCTGTACAGGCGGGAACTAAGACTGAAGGAAGAAATGGCAGCTCAATAACAGGAAAGGAAGCTAAACCAGTTTACCAAGGGAATAATACAGAGCTTGAAAACTTTTTTCTTGTTTTGGTTTGGTTTGGTTTTTTTGAGGCATATGGTAGCTGTTGAGGTGGGGCTAGGGCAGGGCACTGGTTCAGTTTCCATGCAAACCTCCATCATTCATAACTTGAAAAAGTGCCACCATGACTAAGCACAACCCTGAGTGTCACCCAAGGGTGACCATGGGCACATCAGAGCCTCCCTCCTGCAGTAGGGTTTGTTTGTTCTTGGCACCCAAATTGGATCAGAAAGTGAAGGAGCTCTGAGGTACTTAATGAACAGCCAGGACATGTCATACCATCAGACCATTGTTGAAGAGCTTCCCCTCACTCTTGAAGCAGCCAGATGGAGACTGACTTTTAATCAGGGCACTGGCAGCATCCTTTATATTCTGCTCATCTATGTGGATGAAGTCCCGGGCTTGGCTGAAGGTCTTGAGGACAAGAGCAGTAAGCCTAGAGCCAAAGAAGAGAGAATAAAATTGAATTGAACCAGTCACTGATGCCCATCTCCAGCAGGAGACAGGAGTCTCTGTGTTTTCCACTATCTCAGCCCTGGAGAAATACCAGCAGGCCAGAGCCTCTGTGCAGATGGAGAATTGGAAGCAACACATGAATTAGGTGCTCTTGAAGCTTGAGCTCAGATCCATTTGCAGGAAGAGAGAAAAAATTCACCAACAGTTCAGTGCCTCCCCCAGAGCTCTGCCAGTTCCAACGGGCTGCACTTGTGTGATTTAAGGCCAAGAGGACTGATGTTTAGTGAGCTCGTTCAGCCCCTTTCCCAATACTGTTTGGGCACAAAGCACTCTGTAAAACCTGGAAAGAGGGTGTCTTTTTAGCCAAGCTCTCAGAATCATTCTCAGTTCGGGTGCCCAAGCACAAACAATCAAACAAGTGTAATTCAAGTCAGTTCATTGGCACAGTTCTCTTCCAAAAAGGCTCAGGAGCAGTTTCTGTTCAAAACTCCATACCTCCAGTCTCCCTGTTTCCCCAGACCAAAATCCAAGCCAGCTTGAGCCTGACCATGTCAAGCTGTTGTTCCTCAATGGTGTCTGGTTATCTCTGCTTACCACGTGTTCCCTGGCTCACTTCCTTCCCCAAAGGCACTGTATGAGCCATCTGTGTGCTTGTACAGGAGTTGCCGCTGATATCCTGCAGGAAGAGGCTGGGGATAGTGAAGATGCTCTGTGTCTGTTGTGTTCTCAAGGTGAAGACCTGCCCCGCCAATCCTGCTGATCATTATAGAGAGCATTGTCTCTGAGGAATTCAGCAAAGGGCTTTCAGAGGGGTGCCGTGCACCCCTTGTTCAGCTAAGATACAGCAGCCTGATTTACGGTGCTGTAATTCCCATGGTGTCAGGCAAGTGATGCCGCACAAATCCTGTTCAGCACCAAACCTCTGCTGAGATCCCTACTGCACAATCTACTGTAGTGGACATCACCAGCTTAATAACTCAACATGAGCAGAAATCCACTTACCACTTTCCAGATAGCTAACTGCCTTCTTTTTGATTTCTGGAGTCAGTTGTCCTGTTTCTTCAAGGTATCGTGTGATAAAGACATTGGGGGCAAAATGAACCATGTTCTGCTCACCACAGCCACTGGACATCTGGAGGAGCTCATCTATGTTGTCCAGTGCTGTCCCCAAAATGTCACCTGTCGGACAGAACGACAGCTTTGGGAGCTTTACTTATTCTTGCATGTAAAAAATATCTGGTCTCACTGATTCCCAGATAACCTGCTAAGACTGGTCTCAGTTCAATTCTGCTCGCACTGGGGTGACTTTAATGTTTATAGAGCCCTGTAGGAACAGTGCTTTTGTGCTTGTCTATCTTTCCCTTGGCTGGTGAAATTATATATCCATCTGACCCAGCGTCACTTGTATCGGAGAGATGGGATGCTTCTCTGGAAGACATAACGGCCCAGTATCACACCTCACTGTACACATTCCCTCTTGTTACTCTGTTTGTTGAAGCAGACATGGTGGCACCAGAAGAAAAGACTCCTGCTGGGAAAAATCTTACTTTCTAAGACCCTCTTAAATCTCACCTAAGAAAGAGATGTGGGCTCTCTCCGACCCAAGGACCATGTTCTCTGGCGTAGTGAATGTGATTGTCTCTGAAGCTGAAGTTCCTGCAAATGGCAAAAGCATCAGAACAACAACAGGCAGGAGGGAGATGGCAGACCCACAGGCATACTCAGGAGATGGTGTAAACAAGGCTGGGATCACCTCATCAGTTGTTGAAATCAGCATTCAAAAGAGAGAATAACTCATGAGTGACTGTGATGTGGTTAGGCAGTGACTTGGTGCTGCCAGGAGCTTGTAGTACTGGATATAGCTGAATGGCTTTGCCTCTCCATAAAAGCTCCAAAATCTTTGACTTTCCCCTCCCCATGCACCTTCAGGAAGACCTAGATTTGTTCACACACCACACTGCTTCTGTTTGGTCTCCTTGCTCTGTGTGCATGTACAGCTCCTGTGGTAAGACAGTCCCCGTCTTTGGGGTACCTGCACCTACCTTTAGGGCACAGGACTGAGGTGTGGGTCTTTTCCTCCAGCAGTCCCTCTGCCTGGTGGGGAAAAGGCTGGTCAGCTCAGAAGGGAGAGCAGTAAAATGAGAAAGCAGCTGCACAGCACCCCACCTTCCTGCAAGCACCTTTTCCATCCTCGTGGGCCATGCACAGGGCCTCATGCAGACAGCAGGGATGTACATGCTGACAGTGGAGTTTCACTGGGAAGCAGGCTTCTAAGCTGCTACATCGTCTTTGCCCCCATTGCCTTGCTAGCAAGCAGTTCTGAAGTGTCTGTCCCATCAAGTGGAGGTGCTCTGCTCATGCACCAACCCAACCTACCCTTAGAATCACTCCTTCAGCAGCCTACCCAAGCCACGTACCTACCTGCCTGGCCAACTCTCCCCTCCCAGAGCCTCCCACTCAGCTGTTTTAAGCCTGGCCCAGTTCCGACCTTGCCAGGACCCTGAAGCATAGTCTCACCTTCACCAGCAGGTGTTTAACCACTGTGTCCTTCCCTCCAGACTCTGGCACAACAGCTGTACCCTCCGTGCAAACATCTGCCTGCTCCATCACCTCAGCAGTGACAGTGAAATTCACCTTCCCTAAAGAACAAAAAATCAAGAGGCCAGTTGGCACAGCCATGCGTATGTTTTAGTTTGCTCAGCCTAAGGCTGCTCACTCATGCTTTGCTCACACTCTCCCTTCCAGCCCAGCTCGTTTCCTCAAGCCAGTGCCTCCCATTCCTGCCCCTCCCTTGTTCCCTTACCTAATTTTGTAGCCTTCACGTCCCAGAAAAATGTTTTTGCTGAATCAGGACACAGACAAATAGTGAACTTGACATTTGCATGCACAAATTCAAAATCCTTGGAGTCCATTAGGCTAAGCTGGAGCTAGAGGTGAAACAAAAGGGAGTTCGGGTTACAGAGCTGCTGCTTTGTTTTTCTTTTCAAGTCCTTAATCCAAATGTCAGTCAAGCTCAGAAGCCCAGGGTGAGTATGATGATGGCCCTGTTGCAATACCTGTGGGAAACCAACAGCCCACGGACATTGCAGTCCTGTAGGGTTGAGCTTATGGGGAGGGGTAAGCTGAACAGAAATGGCTCTGGATGGAACTTTGTGAAGAGCTTCCTTGGTCTCTTTGGCCCAGTGCCTGAGGAGGCAGCCCCTTCTCTGGGTCTCTGTCAGTGACGTACTGTTACCACACATCCGCCAGCCCAAAAACCATCCTGGAGGGAGCCACTCACCACCATACACTGCTTCAGGTAGCTGAAGACTTTGACTTTCAGGGGAAATGACTCTCCTCGGAAAACAGAGTAGGGCAAGACAGGTTCCACGAAGAAGGGCTTGAAGCTCCGTAGGCTGGTGGTATCTGAGATTCCCAAGCCATGGCTCTCTGAGGTGCAGAAGGTCATGGCTCTCCAGTCTGTGATACTGTCAGGTACTGTGACAGCTAGCTCAGCAGCCCCTGAATCACTGAGGACAAAACAGAATGAAAGGGATTGTCTCCATCCCTGTAAGGATTTCTCTTGGGAAGACGAATACAGAAGGACTATGAACTGGAAGGGCGTGTGAAGGTGTGGGGATTCCTAGGAAGTAGGATAGACGTATGGGAAGGTTAGCAAATAGGTGGGCAAGGAAGGACTGAGAGGCAAATGCAACCCAAAATTTACTTCTTGACAGTGTTGTACTTTAAATTCTTGTTTTGTGTGGGCACACAGGGTTCCCAGGGATCCATGTTATATACCTGGCCTGTGCCAGAGACTACCGTGTGACACTTCCACCACACTACCACCCAAACTTGCAACCACAGCTTGGCAGACATCATTATAAGTGTCACTTACAGATCTGCATGCACAAAATGGAAGATGGTCCCTGCCCTGAAATGGGCATAATCCAGCCAAATGAGATGGAGAGGTAGAGATCCTGTTTTACAGATGGACAACATTGGCACGTGGGAGAATTAGGATGAGGTGTGTGAATAAGGGGAGAACAGTGCATAACTTGACTTTGGCAAGGCCTTTGTCACAGTCTCCCATAGTATCCTTGTAGCCACATTAGTGTGTACTGGACAAGTCGATGATAAGGTGAGCAGAAAATTGACTGGACCACTGGGGACGAAGGATGGTTATTGGTGACACAAAGTTCATCTGATGGCTGTTTACCCATGGCATCCCTCAGGGACTGACACTTGGGCCAATACTGCTTAATGGCTTTATTAATGATCTGGATAGTAGGAGAGAGGACATCCTCAGCAATTAGCAGATTAATCTTGCTATGTATTAGACTACACCTTGTTGGGGAGGGGTTCCTGATATGCTGGAGGGAAAGGTTGCTATTAAGATGTACTTTGACAAGCTGGAAAAATGGGCTGGAACATGGGTAAATTTTGTATCTCGGATGGAATTATACCATGCAACAGTCCAGGCTAGGCAGTGACTGGCTAGTAAGCAGCTTTGCAGAAAAAGAGGTGGAGGTCCTGGTGGATAACAAGTTGAGCATGAGACATGTCATGTGCCCTTACAGCAATGAAGGCCATCTACTTCTGGACTGTATTAAGAAGACTGCAGCCACTGGATTGAGGAAAGTTCTTTTTCCGCTGTATTCCTTCATTGTGGGACCACATCTGTAGTACTGTATCCCATTTTTGCCTTCTAGTATAAGAAAGATACTGATATACTTGCATGTATTCAGTGGAGGACTACCAAGATCGTCAGAAGGCTGGGACATTTCATGTACAAGGAATGGCTGAAAGAACCAGGGTTTTCAAGCTTAAGAGGGAAAGGCTAGGGAGAGATCTTTCAGCTTTCTAAAGCTACGTATTGGGAGGGTGTAGAGACAATGGAACCAGTCTCTTCTGAGGTATATAATGATAGGATGAACAGTAATGGACACAAGTTAGAACATGGGAAATTCTGACTTGAGATAAGAAAAAAAAAATAACATGAGGATGATCAAACACTGGAACAGGTGCCCAGTTTGTGGAATCTCCATCCTTGGAGATACAGAGAACTTGACTACAACCTGATCTAACTGGACCTGCCTTGTGCAGCATTTTGAGCTACAGAGATTTGGAGACCTCTTCGACCCTATAGGAGTCTGTGATTTTAAGTTCCCCAGGATCATTTGGAAAATCTCAGGCAGAGCCAGGAACTGAACCAAACCTCCATTGGCCTTATCCACTTCTTCACACCTCCCTTTTCTTTGTGGACACAGAAGGCAATAATGCCCTGGCTCTGCTCCTGACCATTCCCTCTCTGCTGTGGCTGGTAGGAGGTCTGGATCCATGTGATGCCACAGCCCATAATTACTCACTTGATGGGAACCAGAGTCCAGATGAATGTCTCTGGAAACCAGGTACGTACTGGCCCTGCCTCGCTACCCAGCTCAACGTGCTCTGAGTCAGCACGTTCAACAGCAGCATCTGTTTCTGGGTCCAAGTTGTCCAAGTCTGCCAGCTCGCCATAAGCTATTGGGAATACAAGCATTCATTCAAAGGCAGAGTAACTGTGAAATCAGGATAGAGTTCAGCTGGGAAAAGTTCAGATCTCCATCCCTCCCACTCCCACTCCAATCCCCCTTGTCCTCTGCAAGATGCCCTCAACCTACATGGAGTAGGTATTGTCTTCCATGAGACAACCCAGGAGACCACGTGGATGCCATGAGGAACTCCACCTGCTCACACTTTTCCTCTCAGCCCCTGCAGAAAGGCCTAGATGCTGCCCAGTGCCAATCTTGGCTCATTCTCTGGTTTCCAGCAAGACCTTTCCTAGTCTTACAGATGTTTTTTCCTGAGACAGCTGCCTCATTTCCCCCCTTCACCATCTTATCTTCCTGTTTGCCAGCAGAAGCTTCCAGGCATGTTCATCCTATGCAGACATGTCTCTGCCCCTCCAGTGCACTGGACACACACACACGTCAGGACCCTTCCCCTCTTCCTGCAGTGCACATCTCCTGTGCAACCTCCACTCATCTTTGGAAGCCATCCCCAGTTCCTCAGCATACTGCATGTTCAGCTGCCCTCGTGCAGCCTGTATGTTACCCATGATTTCCAAAGAAACAGGATAAATCGAGATGTACACATGTAGTCGTAGTATAAAGTGGTCTGCGTGCGGCACTCAATTGGAGACTTAATTTTAAGGCTGGTTAAAAATGTCAGGCCTGAATTCTGGAGGAAAGAAGGGGAAGAAAAGAAGGTAGATTTCAGTGGAGGGAGTGGTGTGTCTGAGGGTCTCTCTCTGCCCCCGCCGCCTTCCAGCATATCAGCCACCCTGTGTTGTTGCACTTCAGCCTGACATGTGAATTTATATAGGGAGAGAATGCAGAACCACTCTGCTCCCAAAACCTGGTCCCCGCCCCTCACGCCAAAGGAGGCTCTCTCCTGTCAGAATTGTAAAGGTGACCACTCAGATGTGCATGCCCACACCCAAAGTCATTATTTTGGCACCACAGTTTGCTCCCCACCCTAACACAAACTTGTTCTCGTCTTTCACCTGCTACTCCTTTCTAGTATTTTTTCCCTCATTTCCCCAGTCCCCCTTTTCTCTCAGGTGCTTTGCTTTTCCAACCTCCAATTTTATCTGACTCAGGCTGACGCTCTCCTTCCAACCCCTGGAAAGTCTGAGGGTGTTGAGCTTGGGATAAATGGGCAGCTGGGTTCTAGGGACCTGCCCGATCAATGGGAATTTATTAAGCTGGGAGCATGGAGTGTCAGAGATCTCTAGTTCAGAAGCTTGGCAAATTCGGAACCTGAAGTTGCCAGTGTTTACAGGAAAGACACTCTGTGAAGCTACCCAGTGCTGACCTGGGATACAAAAGGGCTCAGCTCTGACATTTCAGGTTTTCTGGAAATTGGATTTACCTTCAGAAGTTCATAAACATCTGGTTGGGACACTGCATAAGCGTATCTATTGTACATGAATGGTGACATTGTTCCTGGTGGAAGGGTGGTCTGAGGGGAACCGATGATTCCTGGGCTCTTGTGGATAGTACAGTAGTCACTGTAAGAGTCTGTGAGGGTGCTGGGGTGCTCCTGAGAAGAGCTGAACATATTGTGCACCTATAGACAGAGAATGAAAACAGTACAGGTCAGTGTGAGAAGTAGGAATTTTTTACTTCTAGCCAGAGATTTCCTGTGACCGCAGAAGCAGAGCTCGGATCCTGCCTTCCACAAAAGCTCAGCCCCAAAGGTTTTTGAGCTCCAGGGAGAGCCTCCACAAGTTTTAGATGCACAGCACCAGAGATGAACGTGAACCCCTCTGGTGTACAGCTGCATAACTGTGGCCAGTTCTAGCTCATAGATTGTACCTGTGAACTCAATGCATACAGTGAGGACTCCTTCCCTGTAAGAGTCATTAGACAGCTTCTTGTCTGACTGAAGGCACATCCTGGATCCACCAAGACAGTGGCAAGAGGCAATTCAAGGGTCCAAATGCATTCCAGGTCTAGAGGAGAAATGGGGCCCTTCCACTCCCAAGGCACCACTTACAGTCCAGTCTCTGAACGGAAGGACTGTCTGGTTCTTGTCAGCTGGAACAGAGACATGGAGCCTATCACACAGTGGGCATTTTTTTTTTTTTAAAATGTAACTCTGTTTTTCAGAGTACTGTCATGAATTAGTTCAGGAGATGGAACTCTCTTGCCATATGATTGCCACTGTGGAAAAGCACTCTAACTTTAACAAGGATGTGACTTTGGGCTGTACTTGGGGATAACAGTGGGTTATTCTATTAGATCCCTCCGTGGAAACTGGAAGTTTTGACTGGTGTTTGATGTTGGCCTTCATTTTCTTCCCATGTCCTGTCCCCATTCAAGTACCTGTTGGTATATCCATTGTGCCTTATTAAGCAGTGCCTGCCACCAGATACTCAAAAGGCATCTCCAATATTAGCAAGACTCAGCACTAAAGTGACTCACACTATCCCTGGATAGCTCAGCCTCTGGCCTCAGGAGAAGGACGCTCTGGTCTACAGCACGGATGCTACACAGGGAGCCTGGTGCAGCCTGCAAATGGAGATGCACGGACGATCCTGGGAGAGCCACTGTGTCTGAGAAGCCAAGCTTCACCTGAAACAGCAGAAGAAAGAGGGACTGAAGACATTGACAGAGGAAAGAAAGGAGAGACTGACTACTGGATTCTGCTGGACATCTATTGCCAATTTGTAGTTAATGAGCTACCCTCCAGCCTACCTGTCCCTTTATGTTTTGCGCAATACTTACATGGTTCCTGAGGCACTTGGGGACTTTCAGACTGAAGGTGTCAGCTGCCACTTGTCCCTCAGGGAAGGCAGTGTAAACAAAGAGGGTAGCCATGGGTGAAATGAGGTCAATGGGCAGAGTGACATTGAAATCCCCACTATACTGACCTGAAGGAACAAGGAAAAACAGAAAAAATATAGGAAGAGGCAAGGAAGTCTGTCTCCCAGGATTACAGCAGCAACATGCTCATCCTCTATAATACTTCTGTACAGTTATTTGGATAAAAACTATTCTGTCTTGCTTCTGGGGAGGCCACAGCTAGAGCAGGATGTAGGTTAGTCCATTTTATAGCAGTGACCTTACATCATGAGGGATCTTGGCAACAGTGTGCACTTGGAAGAGAAATGACTTTCCACTTGAGTCCAGAAAAAAGATCCCGTGAGTTTTCTTGGAGGTCTCTGATAATTACTGCTTGGCAGATAAACTGTGACAACTTCATCATTTGATCAGAAAAAAACTAGGGAAATTAAAAGACAGGAGAGAGAGAGCATAGTTGCCATTTTCTCTTGATTTATTGTGCTAGCTCTGTTGTTTCCTGTTGGTCTCAGATCTCTTTTCTCTCCTTCCCCGTTTAGGCTGGAAGGGCTTTCTTGTTGGGTCCTTATTCTGTTCCTGGTATTTAGAAGCTCTTACCTAATATTGTATCAAGAAGTACTGTTGTTTGGCCATGATGCACAAGGGATCCTCTGGCCAAAACCTAAAGAGTAATGAACAGAGCAAAGGGTTGATAGTGCCTCTCTCTGCTCCATGTCTCTGGGCCAGCAAAGGGCCCTGTGCTGACACAGACCCATCACAAAGCTGACCTCATTGCTGGTTCTGCCCTGCACTCACCAGGTGGTAGAAGTCTGCTCTGGCAGCCCTGTCCCCTAGCTCTGTGGCTAGGATGCGATAGTGCACAGTGACCTGCTGCATGTCCCCACAGGGCAGCATCACCTGCACTGGCTGGATCCTCACAGAGCTGCGGCTGGAAGAGTAGAAGGCCCTCAGTGTGAGGGATGCAGTGCCATAAGACACCCTCAGATTTCGACCGCTTAAGTCCTCCGGCTGGGTCTTTGCCTGTGGCACAGAAAAGGTGGCTTGATGTCTGAAGGTTTCTTACAGCTCTCCCCACACCAAAACCAAGACTGACTGGACAGTGGGCTCTGAACTCTGCCAGGGTGAGGTGTCTATTTCCACCTAAGCCAAGCTCAGTGAGACCCTTTCTGTGGCGTTTGGCATTGCCTGCTCCACCACGCTCTGGGATGCTTCTTCCCCAGTTCTTTTCCGTCTTTCCGTTCCATACCATGTTGGAGTTCTTCCTTTGCTCCCTGTTCCTGCCCAGCCCCACAAAGCCCTTTCCACCTCAGACAGAGGTGCTATGTAGGTAGACCTCAGTCACAACTTCATGGGGCCTCTGTTCACTGGCCCATCTCTCATCATGTCTCCTGACTGCTCAGGGACCATGTGTGGCACCAGGGGACAGAACTGTGGTTCTGCTGTGGGCTATTCCTCTGGCCCTAGATCTGTCATTTCACTTCTCCATGCCTCTATCTCCTTGGCTATACCGAGACACTGACATAGTCTATAGGTCTGAGGGATGCATTGCTTAGTGCTAGCCAAATCCAATGTAATTATTGGGCTTGACCTGTAGTAGAACTTTACTGCTGTTGTCCCATGCTAACGTCTCTAAGGTGAAAGAGGCCATCCCAGTGTCATCCGTGAAGTAGGTCTTGGTCTGCTTCTTGCTACCATAGGACACTGTAAGAATCACCTCCCTGTTCTTCAGGTGTGTCCCATTTGCACTTTTGAGTTCCAGCTGTAATGATGCAGAGAACAGTCAGAGAATAGGAGATTGAAAATCTACCTCCTGGTAGAGGTCCCAGTTCCCCTCTCTGCAAGGGACTCTCAGCGTGAACTCTAATTCCTCCAATCCCTCCCCATTTATGCAGCAGCCATCTCATCTGGCAAAGCCATGTGTCTATCCTGTGGTCACACCTTTGGATTACATCTTGGCAGAAATGTCAAAGGAGAAACTGGGACAGAGGACTGTTCTAGCAGCCTTGGGCAGCTCAGAGCAAGGGGACCCCTCAGTAGTTCTGTGCCCACCATCCCCTTAGGCCCAGCTGCCAGGCTTTCCATGTTTCTGCCCTGTTCACTTACATGTCCATAGTAGGGAACTCCTTGCTGATAGTAGTAGCTTGTCCCCCAGAATTGGAGAGTTGTGATATCAAAAGTGACCTTGCAGTTTTCAGTGGTGTTGAATTCCACCCCTAGGAAAGACAGGAGGTGCATGCAGGTGAGTACCATGCGTCTGAGCAAAGGCAGCAAGATTGGGTGGACTGAGGTAAGGGATGGACTATCACTCATAGGGGATTGTAGGTTCTCCATATAACTTCAGGAGTCATTTAATACACACACGCTCAGCAATAGTGCCTCCTACATTCTGACCTGCTAGAATGACAGCAGTCAACCAGGAGGTCTCTGCCAGACACTTCTCAAATGCGCTTTCTGACTTTGTTTCAGATGGTCCTACTCATAATTGTCCACTTCCATTCTCCTCCCATTCTCACAGCAGAGTCACTAGAAGGCAACGTTTTTCCTTGCCTTCACCACGTTAGTTTACAATCTGCTGTCTTGTCATGTGGTGCCCATCTGAAATCACTGCAGTTGTTTGCTAAGTGAACATGCATCACTGCTTTCAGCAAGGGACTGCAAAACATTTTCTTGTAAGGAAAGGTTTGTAAAATTTTGTAAGAGAAGGAACCTTACAGGATGGAGTATTTAATGGTAGCTCTGGACAAGTAGCCTCATCTCCCTATCTGGGATGTGGGGATAAATCTGATGAGGAGCTATTAACAGTACACAGTCAGGGTCTTGGTTGTCACTGGTTGCTCTGAGTATCTCCTCATTCCAATGGACTTTCCTAAAGTATGGTTTAAGAACAAAAACACCTGGCCTGGCCCACCTCTGTGCACATTTCTTCTGTGACTAGAAGATGAGAAAAAGCAGCTCTTCCTGTCTCTGCTAAACCAAAGTGACTGGCAGAGCTGGACTGGCCACAACAGCTTGTGGAGGAGCAAGTGTACTGGTAAAATCCATCCTGCAACTGGGAGAACTCACATGTCCTGTGTGAGTAAGCCCTGGGTGGTATGGTACACGAGAACATCAATGCTGCCGTAGTGCTCCCAGGGAAGACACAACCCTCTGAACACTTGACCCCATGGGAGCCAGTACAGAAAGCTCCAGTGGTTTGATGGGAAGACGCAAGGATCCGTAAGGAGTCTTACAAGCATGTTGTATGAGTGTTACAAAATTAAAAGATTTTCCACAAAGTGTGGAATCAGTTTTTGCTACCTGTTCCACTTTCTTTCAGAAAAGCCACAGCTTCCAGGTTGAAATCATAATTGTCACTACGCTTCTGGTGGTAGATCTTAATATTCACCTCAGTGTCAAAGCAGCCATTCTTGTTTGTCTGGGGATGTGAAATTGTATCTGTTAACCATTCATGAATGCACTAATCCCTTCTGCAGTGCAGATCAAACCCAAGGCCCAGCAGTCTAAAAGTACATGACTAAGACACTTGAGTTAAAGGAGCAACTCCTACACAGGCATGAAACGTACTTCTTTTCTGTGGAGCTGTCACTAATAGGAGTTGCTGTTTCACATGCGTTTCATCTTTACACACTCACTCATGTGCCAGTAGCAAATATGAGCTGTCATTTCTCCCTGACAATATGATTTCTTCTGCTAGGGTAGGATTTATCTTTAAGACATGTGCTGGGTTACTTAAAAATATGTAAAAAATATAGATACATTCATTCAATCCTAGAGATGAATGAGTAAAGCCTGTGCTGAACTGTAATTGCTTGCTTAGATGCAAGATGTAATTTCTGTGTCTCCAAAACAGCTGTTTCTGGGAAACAGCACATAGATGTTTCCACCAGATTAAAAGGTGGTGCTAAAAAGCATCCAGTGAAAGTGAATTGATATGAACAGTGTCTGTATTTTTTTATTGCCCTGTTGCAATACCTGCTTTGTAGGCAAATCTGAAATAGCTTGCCTACAGATGCTTCTTACTTTGAGTGCATCTAAGTGCAGTCAAAGTCACTGACAGGGGCTAAGATTGCTACACTGGGGTGTTAAGGACATACCAGTCCTTAACTCATCATTCATCTCCGAGCAAAGAGCATGCTGCTTCAATTGCTGATGTCTGTCCCACTCCTTCCTTTAGTATTCTTCCCTCTATTTGCCCCTGTTGCTCTCTTTTGCAAGAGGAGTGGATGTCCCGTGTGCTCACCTCGCCAGTGTAATCCTTACAAATACTGTGCTTGGCTTTGGAAGACTTCCGATGATAGCGAATATGTTTACGGCAGACCACAGCCTTCACACTACCTAGGACTGCTTTCCCATACGTGTACCTGGCAAACATAGCAGAGAGGACTTACATACAGAAACACTGGCATAAGGGTGAATAGTATCGGCTTTAGCCTGTGGTTTGCAGCTATACAACCCAGCAGCCAGCACTATCTTCATGGTTCATGAGCTCAGCAGAGGCCAAGAAGTTAAAATGACTTTATCAGATTAAGACAGGAGGCAGTGGTGGGTGAGTTCTCTCCAAGACAACACTAGCTCTACCAGGCAGTGCTAGGAGACATGGTGCTGGCCACAAGTTGAGTCATTATTCCTTCCGCATGGGCACTAATCAATGCAGCAGAGGTACTGTATTGTAGGGCACATGCCCCACTGAGGGGATCCACTGCCACACTTTCAAACTCACAGAAAAAGAAGTAGGGAGAGAGAATATGGAGAAAGGTGAGAGTTTAGGAGAATTCCTTAGCAAAGGATGCCAGGGTACCAGACTTTGGGGTAGGGTTGGCAGAGACCACTTGGAGCTCAGTTATTGATAGCTGTGCAGTTTCCAAACCAGTAAGAGTGCACCTTCTGTCACAATAAGTCAGCTCACATGCCACAGACGTGGAGATGGAAGTTCTCCTCTAAGATGGTGACCACCTGAGGCATCTGGATGGAGACACTGAACTTGGGAAGCACTGTGCAAAAGCAGGAGAAATATAATTCAGTGAGAACAGAGACAAGTCATTTGTTCTAATCCTTCCCAAATGGTTGTTCAC